AAAAAAAAATTAAAAAAAATTAAAGAACAGAAAAGGGAAAGAGGACGATTATAGGTTTTAGTCAAAGGTCAGCAAATTTTCTCTGTAAATGGCCAGATAGAGAAGACTTTAGACTCTCTCCAGTCTGTTTTAATTTCACAGCCCTGCTAAGGCAGCACAGGAGTTTCCACAGACAGTACATAAGTGGGTTCATGTGTGGCAATGTCCCAGGGAAACTTCATTACAAACATAGTAATGTGGGAGTCTGAGGCACGAGGACTGCCACAAGTTCAAGGCCAGCCTGAACTACATAGAGACACCATGTCTCAAAAAAAAAAAAAAAGCTAGGTGTGGTGGCGCATGCCTATAATCCTAGCACTGGAGAAGCTGAGGCAGGAGGCTCTCTAAATTTGAGGCCAGTCTAAACAAACAGAGTGAGACCTTGTCTCAAATAATAAAACCGAACAAAACTTCCTCTGAAATGGGGAAGGTGGCACACCGGGGGATATATTTCTGGACAGATCCTTAAAGGGCTGATAAGGGTTGTTGGGCCTGAAACCTGAGGGTAGGAACGAGGTTTGCCTGTGGGAGACGCAGGTCCTGCAGCCCAGGCTGCACACTAACCAAGGTCATCAGCGAGTCTCCGGCCGTCCTCGGTGGGCACAATCCGCTCGTCCTCTAGGTCACACTTGTTCCCCACCAGGATGACTTGGGCATTGTCCCAGGAGTAGGTCTTGATCTGTGTGGCCCTGTGGAGTTGGAGGTCATGAGCAGGGGGTACAGGGTGTGTGGGGAGAGGGCGAAGGTCAGGGCTCAGGAAGACTCACCAATCCTGCACGGCCGCGAAGGACTCCTGGTTGGCAATGTCGTACATGAGCAGGAAGCCCATGGCTCCGCGGTAGTAGGCCGTGGTGATGGTCCGGTAGCGCTCCTGGCCCGCCGTGTCCTGGCAAACAGCAGGCGTCAGGCAGCTAGAAGCCCTGCCGCCGCCGATCCAACCCCGCGGGGCCCTGGCCCGGGACAGGCCCACGGCGCCCTGTTCACAGCCGGGTCTGACGGGGCGCACGGACCCACGCTCCCAGGGCTCTCCAAGCTGGCCGCAGAGGCAGAGCCCTGGCCTGGGGGTTCCTAGTCTCAGGGCGCTGCATCCCCTCCTAGACTTACGCGCCCCGCTTTCCTCCTCTCCTCTGGCCAACTTAACGGCCACACACCAGAGCCACCTGGGCTGCAGGGGCAACCTGGGTGCCACCTGGGTGCCACCTGGGTGCCTCCTTATCACCTCCACTTTCGTCAAGCCGGGCAGCTGAGCTGGGGGCGGAGGGGGGCTCCAACCCTCTTCTCCGGGTCAGCGGAGAGGCAAACGCCTCCCCCTCCGGCTCGCGTGTCCCTTCCCCGGAGCCCGCCCACCACCAGACCCCTGGCCAGCCGCCCGGCCCACCCAGATCTGCAGCTTGATCCTCTTGTCGTGGCGGTAGACGGTCTTGACCTTGAAGTCAATGCCCACGGTGCTGACGAAGGCGGGCGTGAAGGAGTCGTCGGCGTAGCGGAAGAGGAAGGACGTCTTCCCCACGCTGCTGTTGCCGATCAGCAGCAGCTTGAACATGTAGTCGAAGTTCTGGTCTGCGGCGTCCCGAGGCCCTGCAGCGGGGTCTCCGGCGGATGCCATCTTGGCAGGGGCGTCAAGGAGCTGGGGAAGAAGGGAGCCCTGCAGGGGGCGTCAAGAACGGCTAAGAGCCCCAGGGGACCCACCTGGCCTGGGTTCCCTCCCCGCTTTGCCAGTTGGAGGCCAGAGAGCCCTGGCTGTACACACTCCTGAAAAAGGGGATGTTTGTCATAATCCTGGTCTGAAAGTGCAAATGGTTGGGAGCCTCACATAAGTTTCTTTAGTCATTCAACAAACACATACTGAGCGCAGCTCTGTGCCAGATCCTGTTCATTGCAGTGACACAGCTACAAATAAGACAGGACAAAACCCGCCCTGGGGACAGCCTTCTAGTGGGAGGTTATTAATTCACTTAATGGGCATAAAACAGTGCCAGGCATACATTTAACACTCAATATATGCAATTCCTGTTTAATCTTTACACAAAGGTGAGACTGAGGTTTCTCTCTTTTGTTTTTGTTTTAAGACCAGGTCTCCCTATGTAGTCTAGGCTGGCCTTAAACTCACTATGTAGCTCAGTCTGGCCTCGAACTCACAATGATCCTCCTGCCTCAGCCTCCTGAGTGCTGGGATTACAGGCGTGTGCCACCGCACCTGGCTTGGGGGTTCCTGTTGTGAAGCCTAGAGACCAGGCCCGGGGTGGTGATGGGGGGGGATAGGTGCCTCCATCAGCTACCAAGGAAGTCTGCAGAGCCCAAGTGGACTTTACCCCAGCGTGAGCAGCAGGCTCAGCCCAGGTGTGAGTTGGCGCAGGGGGACCCTGCCAGCTGCGTGGAGCACCCCAGGCCTACGTGTTGACTTTGGAAGGTGCCTGCCCTGCCCCCACCCCTGCCTTTAACCCCTTCCCAAATCCCCAGGGCCAGGGGGGTTGTGGGACACGGCCGGGGTTTAAAGCCCAGCTCGCTGTTCCCACGCGGAAGCCTGCGGTTTCTGTTTGTCAAAGGGGGCGGCCGAGCCCTGGGATCCAAGGAAAGGATTGCAGCCACCTGGTGCCACCCAGCCCACACCGCAACCCCAGCCTCCCACGCCCGGTCCTTCTCCGCCAGGCGTCAGAGCTGCCGCCTCGACCCTCGTCTCTCCGCAGGCCTCAGTTTCCCCGGCCGTGTCTGCTGGACAGCACAGGAAGGCCGCCGATGGCCTGCACGGACGCAGAGGAAGCCCAGCCGCGGCTATTTCTCAACCGCCTGGGAGGCTTTTTTTTTTTTTTCATTTTAAACACGGACCCAATGGGCCCCACCCGTGTTCCGGGAGAACGAGTTTGAGGAGGGGCAGCGATGACGCCCTCTGGGCAGGGCCACCAGGCTGGGGTCCCCGCCCCGCCGCACCCCACGCCACCACCGCTGGGGTCGCCGGTGTCCCCTCTGCCTGTCCCTCTGCCGACCGTCCTCTCGCAAGCAACGGTGCCAGGATCCCCGCGGGCTCAATCTCTCCCTGTTCACTGTTTTGGGGCGCCCCAGCCGGTGCAGGGGCGCTCAGACGCCTCCCCCATCACCATATGGTCCGCGCGGGGGCCCCCGCTGGGCGCCGAGCCCGCCGCGCCCCGCTCCCGCAGCCCGAGGAGCCCAGCTGGGCGCGGTCGAGGAAGGGCGGCTGCACAGACCCCCGTTCCGCACACCACCCTCCCGCACCCCGATTTCCGTCCCCAGCCCCCCCAGTGGACGGACCTGCTGGAACGCGCAGGCGCGGGGCGAGGTGCGAGGCGCGCTCCCGACGAGGGGTCACGCGGCGACAGGGCAGTGCTTGCGGGGATCCGGCTCCGAACCCGCTGCCTCGGCCGCGACCCCCGCCCCGCAGCCGCCGCCGGCTCCTGCAGCCTCCCGGATCCCGCGCGGGCTCCGCCCAGGCGGCGGGGCGGGGCCACCCTGGTGGGCGGGGCTTGCCCATTACGGTGGGCGGGGCGGGAGGTTGCCCGGAGTCCAGAGCCAGCCCACCCCTAGCAGCAAAAGCTCCTTTTTCCTAATTATAGGTAGAGAGCGTTTCCTCCGCCTCCTCCTTCCTTCCTTTTCTCTCTTTCTTTTTTGCGGTACTCGGGATGAAACCCAGGGTCTCCACGGAGCTGCATCTCCCGCAAGAGTTCCTATTGCTGTATGTCCAGTAATAGCAATTCTACTTTGGCAGTGGTAGTGCAAGCCTGTTATGCACTTCGGGAGGCCGAGGCAGGAGGGTCAACACAAGTTCGAGGCCAACCTGAACTACATAGTGAGCCTATGTCTTATTAAAAGAGAAAGAGGGCTCGGATTCTGGAGCCGGTTTTGAATCCTAGCTCTACCACTTTCTAGTCTTGCGACTTTGAAGATGTTACTTCTCCATTCTGGGCCTCAGTTTCCTCATCTGTCCCAAAGCAACAGCTCCCCCTCCCAGGGTTGGTGAGGGCCTGGCTGCGTCTGCGAGGCCTTACTCTAAAGTGAGGGGCGGGGCACCGCTGCTCAGGGCTCTTTAGGGCTCCTGATGGAAAGTTCCCTTCACAGGTGAGGAGACTGCGGCTCAGGCAGTGATTATTCTTTGCCTGAGGGGCACAGTAAGATATAGGGGTGGAGGGGGGAGTGGTGCTGCACGCCTGTGGCCCCAACAGTGGGGAAGCTGAGGCAGGAGGGTCACTAGGACTTCGAAGCCAGCCTGGGCTACATAGTGAGTTCAAGGCCAGCCTGAGTTATGCAGCAAAACAAAAAAAAATTTTTTTTTAAAAAAGGGGCCTGGGGATGTAGCTCAGTGTTAAGGCCCCGGGATCCATCCACAGTACTGTAAAAAAATTAAAATTAAAAAAAATCTGGCATCCTGGCCATGCTGAAGGGCCAGTGGGTTCTTCAAGCCAGCAGGAGGGGGTCTGCAGGCAAAACAGTCCAGGCTTTGCTGGTATCTGAATCCTAGCGATGCCACCGCAGCTTGTCCATGGCCCCACTGCCTGGTGGGAACAGCAGCAGCTGCCTCCATGGGCCACTGCATGGATGAACTGAGCTGGGGTGCATTAGCTAGGAAGGGCCAGGCATGCTTGGTAACAAGCACCCCCAAAGTCTCCCTGACATTCGGTAGCCAAGGTGTGGCTTGCATTGGACTATGTAGAAAGTTGTTAACGGGTCACCTTGGAGGTAACGCATGCCGCTTTTGGTCATTGGCCAAAAAGGGTCACTGTCAGTGGGGAAGGAAATGATTGTCCCTTAGGGTTGAAAACCAGCTATGGCTGCAATAATACATGGTAGGACCAGGTGCAGCGGTGCACAACTGGAATTCCAGCTATTCAGATGGCTGAGGCAGAAGGATTCTGAGTTTGAGGCCAACTTATGCAGCTTAGTGACACTTTGTTTCAAAATTAAAAAAATAAGTTGAACGTGTGTACCCCTGTAATTCTAGGACTTGGGAGCCTGAGGCAGGAGGGCCACAAGTTCAAGGCTACACAGTAAGTTCAAGGCCAGCTTAGACTATACAAAGTGACTCTGTCCCAAAATAAAACAAAAATTGAAAAATGAATAAGGACTGGAGTACAGCTAAGTTGTAGAGCACTGGCCAGCATACAAGCCCTACATTTAATCCCCAGCACCATAACAATAAAGTAAAAGAGCTGAGCATAATGTATGCCTGTAATCCCAGCACTCAGGAGGCTGAGGCAGGAGGATCACCATAAGCTCAAAGCCAGCCTAAGCTACATAGCAAGACCCTCTCTCTAAAAACTAATAACAATAACAATAATAATAATAATGATAGAGAAGAAAATAATAGTGGACAGCGCTGTGCTGGTCGACACCATGCCAGGCATACAGAAGGTGCTGCATAAATGAACACGATTTGAGAAGTTTAGGGGCTGTAATCGCTAACACTAAGTCATGATGCCACACAAACGGGGAAACTGAGGCGCTCAGCACTACCCTCGCACGCGCACGCACAGCCCGCCCCGCTGCTCAGGTGGGAAGAACGACGGCAGCCATTTCCAAGGAAGCATTTATTGACATGCAGGGCCCGTGCTAGAGGCTCCGGAGACCCAGCGCCAGGTTGGCCAGGCAGAGCCCGTTGCTCAGGACGCAGCCCAGGTTGCACAGCGAGGACAGACCATGGTAGTGGAAGAAGTTCTTGCGGAGATCGCTGTACTTGGGGTCCTTGTCCCGCAGCTGGCGGTAGGGGTCGGGGCCCTGCAGGCTGCCCGGCACCTCCCCACCCAAACCTCGCTCCTTCTCCACGCTCTGCAGAGCCCGCATGGCGGCCGTGGTGCGAGGCTCCAGCCAGCGGGCGTTGATGGCAGCCAGCACGAGGCTCAGGAACAGGAGGCAGCACTGCGGGGCGTCAGAGGGAAATTCAGGCCAGCCTTGAACTCACTACGTAGCCCAGGCTGGCCTCGAACTTGCAGCAATCCTCCTGCCTCAGCTTCCCAAGTGCTGGGATGACAGGCGTGGGTTAACACACCCAGCTGGAGATTATTCCTGAAACACCTATCCGACCTCAGTGCCCACATCTGAGGAATACAGGGGTCAGCGGGAGGGCAGGGCAGAGAAATCCCAGACACAGAAATGGTTCCTTGCCTTGAGGGTGGGGATAGGGAACCCTAAATTCCCAGTCAGGCTGGTTTTTAAACAATGAGCTAGGGTCAGAGCCCCAGCATAGCTGAGTCACTACAGCCTGGCAGCAGGCCCAGCCACAGGAGCGAGAGGGACCAAGCAGCCGATGGAGAGATATGGGGGATAGACAGGGCTGTTGGGGACAGTTGTGCAGGCTGTGCACTGCTCAAGAACATCCAGCACCCAGCTTTGTCTCCATAGGAAGAGGGGCACTCTGGTTTTTTTTTTTTAATCACAAAGATTTCACTGCTGGTGCTCACTGGGGTCTTGGAAACAAGTCTCCAGGGGAGAGTGGCACTGCAGTTCGCGTACCTGGCTGGCCTCCCAGAATGTAAACTGAACCCAGGCACGTTGGGAAGCCGCGGTGCAGAGGTTGACGAAGGCACAGCCCACGGAGATGTGGAAGTAGAGCGGGAAGAGCCTGCTCTGCACCAGGCCGAAGGTGTGCCGGGGGAGATTTCGGAAAAGCAGGAAGCCTGCGGCACAGGGGGCCATGCAGCTGTCAGGACACGTCCAGGTCCCCCTCCCACTTCTGTCCCCACCCTGGGTGGCCAGGTCAAGGGTCCCTACCTGAGACGAAAGTCACCCACATTTGCATGCCCCAGGCTCCCGACAGGACCAGCAGGTGGGCCACCTTCACCAGGCCTCCCGCGTCTCCGCTTCCGTCCATGATGCGTCCTGGGAGGCGGGACAGGGCGGTCTCAGCTCCACCTTTGCCCTGCGAGGCCGCTCAGTCCAGGGACAGCGCCGGGGTCACGACCGATCGGGCAGGGACTCAGGGAACGCAGCCCCGGGAGGGGAGCGGGGAGGCCCCCAGCCCCAACCCACCGCGCCAGCTCCCGAGACCTCCGCCTCTCCGGGCTCCGCAGCCCGAGCCAGCTCTGAGACCCCCACAGTTCTCTTAGTGGTCTTAGAGATCGCTCACCCCAGGGACCCCCAAATACCGGCCCAGGGGTCCTGCTCCAACGCCGAGACCTCGCCTCTCACAGCAGGACCCAGGAAGACCCCACGACCCCCTCCAATCACGGGAACCCGAAACTCATGCCCAGGACCCCGAGCCCGCGGGGGAACCCAGAACTCAGTCCTCAGCACCCGCAGCCGGTGACAGGGGCGCTGGGCGCGGATCTCAGGCGGCAGACGGCTGAGTCTGTACCTAGCTCCCGAGCTCGCGAGGGGACCGCGAACCTCCGGGAGGCCTCTAGCAGTGGGTCCGCTTGAAACAACAGCTCAGCCCCTCTCCCACCTGGAGGCCGGAGCCAATCGATAGAAGTCTGCCGCTCTCGTCCCGCCCTCCTAGGTATGGACTAACAGGCTAGCAGGAACCAGCTTGAAATCCCGCCTCCTCGTCAAGCCTTCATCCAATTAAACAGACGCTACCAAGGCACTACGGGGGCCTTCAGTTACCAGCAAGGGGGCGGGGCTAACATGTCGGCCACACCCCTCTCTGTGACCGCCCTCGGACAGTCTCTGCGTTTTAATGCGATGGTGTCCCAACGGGATCAAATTTCAGCGTCACAGCTAAGGACTGGCTTTGTGGTTCCCGATGGGAGAGTATGAACAGGTGATATGTGGTAGGTGGGAGCGGAAGGGGATCGCAAGCGTGGCGGGCGCAGGGTTCACGCTCCGGGGGCGGGGCTTAACCTGAAGACCCCGCCCCTCACGAAAGAATTCTCCCGGGAGAGGCGGTCGAAGAATCAGTGACCATGACCGAAGCGGGAGAGGGACAGGATACAGGTTTGGAGACCTGGCTGCAGTTGACGCCCCAAGGCACTTTCTCTTCCCCCTCCAAGCTTCTAAGGGATCCCATGATGCTCAGGTCATCTGTGTGACATTCAAAAACAAGCACTGGACGGGCGTGGTGGCACACGCCTGTAATCCCAGCACTCGGGAGGCTGAGGCAAGGTTGATCGTTTCGAGTTCGAGACCAGCCTGGGTTACAAAGTGAGCTCAAGGCCAGCCTGAACTGCATAGCGAGACCCTGTTTCAAAAAGACAAAAAAAAAAAAAAAAAGAAAAGAACAAACACCGGCCGGGAATGGTGACGCACACCTGTAATTCTAGCACTCGGGAGGCTGAGGCAGGAGGATAGCCGGGAGTTTGAGGCTAGCCTGGGCTACACAAGGAGTTCAAGACCGGCTTGAACCACATAGTGAGACCCTGTCTCAGAAACAGAACAAAACCTGAACTGCCCGTTACTGTAATGCCAGATGCTAACACAGATTAATTAATCACAACAGAAGATTAACTTGTACATCACAACGTAGGCGTAAAGATCCACTGAGCACTCATAAAATATGAGCCTTAAAAAGAATTAAGATCTAGGACTTGGGAGGCCAATCTGGACTACATAATGAGTTCAAGGCCAGCCTGAGCTACACAGCAAAACCCCATCTCACAAAAAAAAAAAAAAAAAAAAAGATCAAGAAAGATTTTACAGAGAACATGCTGGGTAGGGTTTTGAAGGGTATATAAGAGTGAGGAGGACTGAGGGAGGGGAAGACTGAGGAAGGCTGAGCGGGGAAAGGACACCAGGCAGGAGGCCCAGCAGTGGCAACAGAAAAGTCTAGAGGGTCTGGAGGACCGGATAAGTGTGACCCAGTGCAAAGACCCCTTCACTTGGAAGTTTTCCTGGTAGAACTGCCCTGAGACAGGATCTTGCTAAGTAGCCCAGACGGGGCTCCAACTTTTGATCCTCCTGCCTCAGCCTCCTGGTACCCTGCAAGGGCCTCATTTCTTTGTGTGGCATCTTCTGGGTCCTTCTCACTGCCCAGCTCAACCCGGGGGTCTGGTGTCACCCCTCATCCAGCCCCAGCTCCTGCCATCATGGGGAACCCGAAAGTCCAAGGAGGAGGCCTATGGAGGGTGTTGGGGAATCTGGGGTCCTAGGACATGGGGGGTGGTCTCAAAGCAGCCCCCATCTGCCCTCTTTGCAGCGACCCCCTTTTGGCCGGCCTGTCCCGGGACCCTTACTACTCGCTGTCCTGCTGCTCCTGCCCTCGTTCGCCCTCCGCTGGGTGTTCCGCTGAGAACAGGACATGTGACAAGTACTGGGGTTCGCTGTGGGGCCGCCCTGGGGCTAAGAGGCCGGGAGGGGCTGGGATGCACGCTGGGCTCTGGGCTGTCCCTCACCCCTGGGGTCTCCCGCAGACAAGGCTTTGGACTGCACGACTCACTGGCCCAGGACCCCAGAGCCAGAGGCCGGGGCAGCCACTTGCTCGGAGCGCGGTGTGAGCAGCAAGGACCAGAAGCCGGAGCGGGGCTCTGAGTTGCAGGCGCAGGAGGCTGCCCCCTTTGCCAACCTGGACCTGAAGACGGAGTCTCATCAGGACCACGACCTCCTGAAGTGGGACTGCAGCTTAGCCAAGGTCACCCCTGCCTAGGAAACCCCTTCAATCCAGACACCCACCGCCGTCCGTCACTGAGGGGCTTAGGGCAGGGACAGCGGGCGGGGTGACCGTCAACCGCAGTGTGGCACAGTGTATCTCAGTACCTGGAACAGCACCCTTTGGGCTTTCCCTTGTGCAAGGAAGGGATGGAAGAACCACCCTGCTGTGTGTCTTTTGTTTTGAGACAGGGTCTCACTATGTAGCCCAGGCTGGCCTTGAGCCTGCAGTGACCCTCCTGCCTCAGCCTCCTGAGTGCTGAGACCACAGGTGTGCGCCACCATGCCCGGCTTCAGTGGGTCTTGTCCATGATGGTCTCTGGCTGTGACGCGGCTTCGTGCATGAGTGGCTGTTCTCGTGTCTGAGGTGCAGGTGGTCTTATGGGTGAGCGTGCATGGCCGTACGTTTGTGGCTGAGGTCCCATGTTCGGGACACTGTGGACCTAGCGCCATTTGCACCCGTGGCGGACGTGGGGATATTATCTGCCCCTAAAGCCAGAGACAGGGCTGGCACCTCCCATCAGGGGCAACCCACAGGCCCACAGAGGTGGAGGTGGGTGTGCGGCAGCGCACTTCTGAGCATGTGCAGGTCGCGCGGGGCACAGGGTGTGCGAATGGGCCCGGAAGCAGCTTTGCCTGTGCTCATGCCTGGGACACGTGGAACTCAAGAGATGCAACTTGCATCCATCACCCTCTGATCTGGGGCGAGGCGCGCATCGCAGGGGCAAATTTCCCCTCCCCTCTTGTCCTCCCTCCCTAGAAAACCTCAGAGACCAGCTGTCCCACCGTCAAAGGTAGGGAGCGTGAGGAGGCTGCGTGAGGACAGCTGTCGGTTCCTGCCTCCCCCCCTCCCCCAGCCTCCGCGCCCCCCTCACTGTGCGCTCCTCCCTGCCCCGGCTTGGTGGGCCGCAGCCCCCGGCCACCTCCGCCCTCTGCCCCGCTCCGTCCTGGGTCACCTGGACCTCTGCCCTCAGCCAAGTCCACCGCGATGATTCCCGACTCTCAGAAGCTCCTGCGGCGCGAACTGGAGTCAGTCAAGAGCCAGCTACAAGCCCAGACCAAGGTGAACCACCATGCTCTGCCCCGGCAGCCTGAGGCCCCGCCCCGCCTGCTCCGTGCCCCCTCCCCAGCCCGGCCTGACCTCTCCCACCCAGGCCTTCGAGTTCCTGAACCACTCGGTGACCATGCTGGAGAAGGAGAGCTGCCTGCAGCAGATCAAGATCCAGCAGCTGGAAGGTGAGCTCCGGGCCCAGGGAGCGTGGAGGCCAAGGTCGGGCTGGAAGGCGCCCCAGTGCGGGCCAGGCCGGGGACAGAGACACGGACGGAGCCTGGGTTTCGGGTCAAGGGCAGTCTGGGGGCTGATGCTGCCAAGCTCATCGGCGTCGGGCCAGGCTAAGCATTGGGGGAGTCTGCGTTCCAGGTCAAGGTCAGGCCAAGGTTAGCGCACGCTGAGTTCAAAGCTGCCTTAGGAAGCCAAGCGTGGTGATGCAATGATTCCAGCACTAGGGAGGCTGAGGCAGGAGGATCACCGAGAGTTCGAGGCCAGCCTGGGCTACAAAGAAAATAACAAAAAGTCGCCCAGGGTTCCATCAGGGTCCTCCCCTTCTCTGCAGAGGTGTTGAACCCCGTGGGCCGCCAGGGAGAGAAGGACGGGCGCAAATGGGGCACCGAGCAAGGCCGGCAGGAGCTGTACGGGACCCTGGCCCGAGGCCTTCGGGTGCTGCAGAGGACCGTGCGCGAAAGCGAGGAGCTGCAGCGGTCGCGCACCACCCGCTGCCTGCAGCTGCTGGCCCAGGAGATCCGGGACAGGTGGGCGTGGGCGACAGGCCGGGGCGGGGCGGAGGCCAGAGAGGGACGCCGAAAGGCCCGGGTCAGGGGCCCTGTGAGGGGACATGGAAGGCGTGGGGGGACAGGAGGCTGGGACAGCAGGCAGGGAGAGCGGACGCTGGGGGTGGGACGGGAAGGAGGCCAGGGGCGCTGAGCTGGGGGAGGGGCGGGGACAGAGGCAGGAGGGGAAGTGGGCAGGCAGATGGGGAGGGGATGGAGCCCAGCGATGGGTGGTAGCACAGATGGGGACATGGGAGGCGGAGGAGGCTTGGGACTGGCAGGGGGTGGTCTCACCAGCCTGTCCCCTCAGCAAGAAGTTCCTGTGGGAGGAGCTGGAGCTGGTGCGGGAGGAGGTGACCTTCATGTACCAGAAGCTCCGTGAGTGCCTGGGCCCCACGACAGGCAGGGGGGCTTTTTCAACGCCCCTGTCCCCCTGAGGCCTGTCTCTCCACAGAGGCGCAGGAGAGCGAGATCGCAGAGAACCTCTCGAACATCCAGAAGGTGCAGAGGACACAGGTGAAGTGTCGCAAGGTGAGTGGCAAAGTCGGGGTGGTGGGATAAGGGGGACCCTGCAGAAGGTAGGAGTGGGTGAGAGCTTCCACCAGCCTCCGCAATCAGACCGGAGGCCAGGTTCAACTCCCAGCTCTGCCAGTTACTGCTGTGTGACCGTGGGAAAGTCACTATGCTTCTCTGGGCCTCGGTGTGTTCTTCTGTATAATGGGTATAATAGTGACATTCCCTTCCTGATTGGGCAGCTTGCTTAACTTGAATATGGCCTGGTATACAGTAAGTGCTACATACAGTGGTCACCGTTCACCCTTGTCATTAATGTGGCTGATTCTCCTCCCCCGGAGCCCCAGGTCCTGACGAAGATGAAGCAACAGCAGGGATATGAGCCGCCTTCCTGTCCCGAGGCTGAGGAGGCACTGCCGGGAAGCGATGCCTGGAAGGATGACCTCCAGAAAGAGCTGAGTGACATATGGTGATGCCCGGCCCCCAGTCTGACCTCTGACCTCTGACCCCTGACCCTCATCTCATCTGCTTCTCTCCAGCTCCAGCTTCCCGAACCTGGACTTCCCTCTCCTCCCAGAGCTCGGCCCACCATGGCTCCCCTGGCCTCAGCCCTGCTGCTGTCCCCACCCTGGGTGATTGGGGTCCCCTGGGTGGCCCCATCTTTCCGTCTCCCTGCAGGTCCGCTGTCCATGGGCTGCAGAATTCCATTGATGGCCTTACCACGTCCTCAGAGGCTCCCCGCAGGGCCTCCAGCCTCAGGGGTGAGAGGCTGAACAATCAGCTTCACTTATGGGGGCTTGGGTCCAGAGGTTCTATCTGGGGGGTCATATTAAGTACTGTTCTGGGGTTGCAATAAGGAGCACTGAAGGTTTCACCCAGAGGTCATTCATTCCAAGTCACATTCAGGGGCCCTTGGATTTTTTAAAGAGTGGATGTGGCTGGATGTGGTGGCGCATCCCTGTAATTTCAGCCATGGGAAGGCTGAGGCAGGAGGATCGCTGTGAGTTCTAGGCCAGCCTGTGCAACACAGTGAGTTTAAGGCCAGCCCAAACTGCATAATGAGACCCTGTCTCAAAAAAAAAAACAAAAAACAAAAAACAAAGTCAAAGGAGGTACACTGACATCATTTGGGGTCACTTTGGGTCATATAAGGGTATAGGGGTCATGATCATGAATCACTGTGTCTTTGCTTCAGTTTTTATTTTTTATTAGTACATGTTTGCAGTGCATTGTGATCGCATTCCTGTGTGGAGTTGGTACATGCACACAACACATCTTAATTCTTTTTTAATCCCATTCTCTCCTCCATCTCTCAGTCCCTGTCCCATTTGAGAAAGATCTCTCTCCCTACTTCCTATTAGTTACTTTTATTTTGTTCGTTATATTATAGGTTTCTCATAGAAGAGAAATTGAGCAGTAATTAAGCTTGTGTGTCTGATTTACTTCACTTAAAATTATGGTCTTACGGGGCTGAGGATTTAGCTCAGCGGCACAGCGCCTGCCTGGCAAGCGCGAGGTCATGAGTTTGATTCCCGGTACTGGAAAACAAACAAACAAACAAAAATTATGGTCTCAAGCTGCATCTATCTTCCTACAAATGACTCAAGCCTCTTCTTCTTCATGGCAGGGTAGTACTCCACGGTGTGTGAACACCACACTCTTTATCCATTCATCTCTTGATGGACACACAGGCCACTTCCAAGAACTAGCTCATATGAATTGTAATAGCTGCTATAAACCTGGGTATGCACGGGTCACTGTGACAGGATGTCTTGAACTCTTTCAGGAAGATCCCTAGAAGGGGAATAGCTGGGTAATCTCAAGGGACCCTGGGGCCACGTTCTGAGCTTACTAAGGGAGTCACACGCAGGAACCTCTGGAAATGCACCTGTCTCTCCCGCAGGCAACAGGGGACACCGGTGCCTGAGCCCTGCGCTCCCTTCCTGGGTCTCAGAATCCCACTGGGATCCGCCGCCTTCCAGCAAGAGCCGACCCTTCCCTTTCGGTGGGGATCCTCCCTGCCCTCCACTTCCCTTCTGCTCCTGGCCAGCCCTGTGTGGGCAACTGGCCCCCTCACCGGGTGTCTTGGGGTCCCCTGGGTCAGGCCGGGCCCTGACCCACCTTCTCTGTCCACAGTTTGAGCAGCCGGGGACTGCTCGTCCTGAAGACCCCCCCCCCCAGAGAGAAAATAAACTAGCCAGACCCTCCTCGCCGGACTCCTGCTCCTGCTGCTTCCTGTGCTAGGACACCCCACACCCCAAGTTACTCAGGGTCAGGGAAGGTGCAGAGACCCCGGAGACTGTGCTGGTCGGGAGACAGGATGAGGCCACATTCAGGAGTGACAAGGTGGAGTCCAGACAGGGCTGGTCGGACAGGCTTTCCCACCCCGGTCCCACAGCTTTCCTACCTGCTGGGGTGGGGGTGGGGTGGGGGTGCCCTGCGGGATCCGACCCTGTGCGACCGATGACTAGTAGGGAAACGAGGGCGCAGAGAGGGAGGGGAGCGGGAGGCGCTGCGTCAAGCTCGGAAACGCGGTCCTCCCCAAGATTCTCCCCATACCCGAGGGTCCTCCTCCCGCTCCTCCGTTCCCGCAGAATCTATGCTAGCTCGCCCCGCCTCCAAGGACAGGCCACGCCCCTACACACAAACGCTACGAGTCCCCGCCTTACTTTTTATGCAAATAAGGCGCCCAGAGGCCCCGCCCCTCCCACCGCGGAGTCTGCGCGGTGCGGCCTGCCGGGCGGATCGTGTCCCCGTCCCGGCGTCCGCCAGCTGGGCCACCCGTCCGTCTGTCCGCGGGTCCTGCCGCCTGGTCGTCTAGGCGGAGCGAGCTCAGGAAGCGGCGGGGACGGCCGAGACGCGGTGAGGGAGGGGCTTGGGGCGCCCCCTCCCCATCCCGGGGGCGTCCTACCCTCGATCTGCCCGTCCAGGTGGGAACATGGGTTCCTGCGATCGATCGGGTCTTTTCGGGTACAGCACGAGGAGGGGGAGGGGAGGCGGCGAGCTGGGGCGTCGGATGGGCTGGGGGGAGGGGAGCTTGCGGAGAGGACCCTGTCCCCGAGCAGCCGAGCAGCGGTGGTGAGGGTGGCTGTGGGTGGCTGTGATTGTGTGGTTGTCATTGTGTGGTTGTGTAACTGTGGTCCTGTGGCTGTCATCGTTTGGCTCCGGGTGTGTCCACGCGCGTGTGGCTGTCTCCTGTGGCTGTCGCTGTGCGGCCGCCGGGGTGGGTGTCAGCCTGCCGGGGTGTGTGTGGTTGTAATGTGGCTTCCTGTGGGTGGCCGTGCGACTGCTTTCACTGTGTGGCTGGCGTGGTGTCGGGCTGGCTGTGTGCATTTGACTGGCATTGTGTTCATTCTGATGGTGGCTCTTTGCGCACACTGACATACGTGCCTTTCCTCTGTGGCTGTGTGTGTGTGTGTCACACTGCATGTATGTGCCCTTGTGTAACCGTGTGGCTGTGACTGCGGCTGGCGTGTGTCTCGGGACGGTCGGGGTGGATGAGAGGCTGTTAGTGTGTGTGGCTGTCATTGACCGCCGGGGAGCTGGGAGCTGGGGGTGTGACTGTGGCCGGGCGGGCGCCTCCCGTGCTGTGAGATGACTGCTGTGACTGAGGTGTGTCGGCAGCCTCCAGGCCGTGGCAAGACAAGGGTTTGGGGCTGCGCGTTGTGCAGGGTCCCCTGACTGTGTGTTTGTGCGGGGGGACGTGTTTGATCTGTGTGGGTGTCCGTGACAGGCCATGTGCACCGTGCCTGGTGGATGCGTGTGTGTGTGTGTGTGTGTGTGTGTGTGTGTGTGTGTGAATGTGGGGCTGCGTGTCGTGGGTGTTGGGGACCTGTGTGAATGAGCCGGGCCTGTCTTGTGCACCACGAGGCAGGTGCCCAGTACAGGCTGCCTGGTTGTCGTTGTGGACGCCGTGCCGTGATGTGTGTGTGTGTGTGTGTGTGTGTGTGCGCATGCTGTCAGGATGAAGGCTCTAGCCCGGGTGCACACTGGCAGGCCCGGCATCGGTGGCTCTGGGCGTCTAGGACCCTCGCTGACCCTCAGCCTCCGTGTCTCACTGCAGAGTCGCCTGCGGATGGAGCGCCGGCTGCGCGGTGCCCGCCCTCACCCGCCTGGGCCTCAGCTTCCCCACTTGCACGATGGAGGTGACCATTGCTGCCCTGCTGGCCGCCAGCAGCGGCTGTGAGTCTGTGGTGCTGGGGGCGGCCTGTAGGAAGCCCTAGGGTGCTTTCACAGGTGAGATCCAGGGGGACGGTGGGGGTCAGAACGTGTGACTGTGTTGCCCCTCAAATGCTGGGCCCTGAGGTTGGACTGGGGGGCAAGCGGGCTGGAAGGAGGGGGAGGAGAAAGGGGAAAGTGGGAGGGTGGCCTGGCTGTGAGCCGCACCAGACACCAAGCCCGAGAGGACAGAGGAGGCCCCCACGGGGGCTGGGGGAAGGGGTCTGTACACAGCTGCTGGGGTCTCTGGTAAAGCGGTGGGGGGTCCTCCCAAAACCCTGGGGTTACAATCTCCTTGTAGGCTGCGGAGGGGAGGGGGCCACGCGAGCATCTCTGGAGCCCAGAGGAGGCTGGGCAGGTGGTGTCAGGCATGGACCCCCCAAGGGCCCACAGGGCAGGCCTTCGATTACAGAGGTGTAGCCACAAGGCTCAGGAGTGGGGCCCGAGTCCCGCAGTCTGTCTGGAGCGCCCACCCCTCTGCACTTTCGCAGGCCCAGCCATGGCGGGAGGGAGACCACACCTGAAAAGGAGCTTCTCCATCATCCCCTGCTTTGTCTTTGTGGAGGTGAGGACCTTAGACCCTTCTCAGAGGGGACACACCTGTATTCCCGACTCTGCCCAGCTGGACCTCCTCCTCACCTTGTCACTCCCATACCCATTTTTCCAACTCACTCCCTGTCACCCTGGGATCTCCACTGCTGCCCCCTTCTCTTGAGAAGTGGCTTGGGCTCAGCCCCTCTCTGCCTCATCCACCCATACTGCAGGGCTCCAGGCACTTGGGCCTCAGTTTCTGCATCTATGAAATGGGTACAACTTGAGTTCTCAGAACCATTAGGAAGGTAAAATGACTTCATTCAAGGAAGGGGCTTAGGACCCTGTGCCCACAAGAGGGGTTGCACCTGCAGGAGTTGAGAGTCCTCTGGGTACTTCTGTCCTTGTTAGCTGCCCTCCACACTGTACATCTGTCTGCTGTCCTCTACCTGGGCCCTCTCTCTGTTATTTTCTTCCCTTCCTTTCTCTTCCTTCATCCCCTCTCCCCTTTTTTCTGCTTTTCTTGCCCTTCTCTCTTCTATTTCTATCTCCACCTCTTTCAAGTCCCTCACTTTCCTTCCTGCCTCTCTCCCTGTTCTCCCTCCTCTTTGTCTTGCTCTCTGTCCAGTGTTTTGTTTCGTTTTTTGAGACAGGGTCTCGCTATGCAATTCATGCTGGCCTTAAACTTACTATGTAGCCCAGGTGGGCCTTGAATTCATGGCGATCCTCCTGCCTCAGCCTCTCGAGTGCTGGCATGGCAGGCATGCACCACCACACCTGGCTGGTCTCTGTCGTCCAGGGTCTGTCTCTCTGCCTTCGTCTCTGTGTCTCTGTCTCCTTGGCTTCCCCACCTCTGACCTTTTCTTTTCCTATCTGCCTCCCCCTGCTCTGGCTGGGCACAGTCAGTACTGCTGGGCATCGTGGTCCTGCTCGCTTACCGCCTGGAATTCACGGACACCTTCCCGGTGCACACGCAGGGCTTCTTCTGCTATGACAGCACCTATGCCAAGCCCTACCCCGGTCCTGAGGCCACCAGCCGAGCACCTCCCGCCCTCATCTATGCCCTGGTCACTGCTGGGCCCACCCTCACGGTGAGATGCGGGGGTCGCCTCCCAGGAGGCAGGGAGGCCCCGTGGGGGCTGATGGCGGTCTGGCTTGAAGTCCAGGAGGTGCCCACCTTGGTGTTGTCCACAGATCCTGCTGGGGGAGTTGGCGCGGGCCTTCTTCCCCACACCACCCTCAGCCAGCCCCATCCTCGGCGAGAGCACCATCATTTCAGGGGCCTGCTGCCGCTTCAGTCCCCCGCTGAGGAGGCTGGTCCGCTTCCTGGGTAAGCGGGAGGCCGGGGCGGCCCGTGGTCGCGGGAGGGGGGCAGGTGCAGGGTGAAGGGCCCTGAGACAGCTCCGCCGTGATTGGAATGCCAGGTGGGAAGGAAGAAGTCCCGGAATTGCCATGGTGGGGGCTTCAGGGGGCAAAGAGGGACTTGGGCTCAGGCCCAGCGTAGTGGAGATTCCAGGGACACGGGTGGCATCTACCCCATCCGTGGTGTCAGCTGGAGGAGGAGGACCCCAAAATGGGACCAGGGCAGTCTCAGTGGAAAAAGAGGGACATGTTGGTGACCACACAGAATGGTGCCATGGGGCAGGGAGAGGAGACTGGCAGTCACATTCAGTGGATCCTTTGTCACAGTTGGGCACGGCGTGGGGAGCAAAGTCGATCCCCAATGGCTGTCCCAGGGAGAGAGGGCTTCGGAGACCCAGCTCTGGCTCATGTGTGGCCCAGGGAGACGGGGTCCACGCAGAGCTGGTGCCGGAGTGGGTACCAGAGGCCCGGCACGAGCATGAGGGTCTTCCCGGGACGTCCCAGACACGGGCCTGCGCCTGATGGGCTGGTGGGTGTTGAGGGGTCCCAGCTCAGCTACAGGGCTCCAAGGGAAGGGCTGCTTCTGACGCGGTGCGACCCCAGAGGGGCAGGGTGTACCGAGGCGAGAGCTCCAGGGCATGGGCGACCCCAGGTGCCGTCCTAGTGGTCGCAAAGAAAGGGACATTTAGTCCAGCGAAAATGGGGTCCCAAGTGTGTTTTCATGGTGGTCAAGGAAACAGGTGGCCCGAGGCAGGCAGAAGGAGGTTTTCAGGGGGGCTAGAGGGGTGTCAGCGCTCAGAGTGACAGACCCCCCTCTGCACCCCTTCACCAGGAGTGTACTCCTTCGGCCTCTTCACCACGACCATCTTCGCCAACGCGGGGCAGGTGGTGACCGGCAACCCCACGCCACACTTCCTGTCCGTGTGCCGCCCCAACTACACGGCCCTGGGCTGCCCCCCGCCCTCTCCTGACCGGCCGGGGTCTGACCGCTTTGTCACCGACCGGGGCGCCTGCGCCGGGAGCCCCAGCCTGGTGGCCGCCGCGCGCCGCGCCTTCCCCTGCAAGGACGCGGCCCTCTGCGCCTACGCGGTCACCTACACGGCGGTGAGCACCCTGGAGAGCGGCGGGGTCCTCCCCGCCCCCTGGAAGCCTCCCCTTTGCCATGACCCCGCCCCGGGCGGAGCCTCGGCACACCCCCGCGAGCCTGAGTCTGTTGCTGCGTCCAATGATGTCGCCCCTTGATGTCTAGGCACGCCCCTTGCCCCAGTAACGCCACGCCCAAGGGACTGGACTCCACCCCTCAGGGCGTCCGGACCTTGGAGGGCAGGGCTCGGTTCCTTGAGGCTGCCGGCCCGAGTAGGGGCTGACTGGCGGGCGGGTGGGTTGGACTCCGCCCCCTGGGGCCCTCCCCACGCCCCTGACTCTTGACAGTTAGGACTTCCGACTCTGTGCCCTGCTTTTGCTTTAACTCTGTCGCTTTGACTCCCTTTTCCGGCCTTCGATGCGTCTAGCCCTGCCGGTGGTCCCAGGGGGTTCAGGACGCCACCTTCTTGGGTTCCTGGACCTGCCCCTTTGGGCCCTGGCTCCTCCCCCTTGGTTCTGTGGTCGCGCCCTAACCCAAGAAGCATCCTTCCCCTCATAAGAGCACAGGCGCCCCAGATCCTGACCTCTCCGCAAGAGCCCCCGCCCCTGGGCACGGCCCTAGCCAGAAAGGAGTGTCCCCTCGGGTCGGAGACCTCAGTTCCGGCTGTCCCTGACTAGTGTGGCTACCGCAGATGTACGTGACCCTGGTGTTCCGCGTGAAGGGCTCCCGCCTGGTTAAGCCCTCCCTCTGCCTGGCCCTGCTGTGCCCCGCCTTCCTGGTGGGCGTGGTCCGCGTGGCCGAGTACCGCAACCACTGGTCGGACGTGCTGGCCGGCTTCCTGACCGGGGCGGCCATCGCCACCTTTCTGGTGAGTCCCCAGCCACCCAAATTTGCATGGCAGACCGTCCCACCCCGTGTCCCTCCAAGCCCAAGGCAGGCCTTCCTGATGGTGGGTAGCGTAGACTCTGTGTGCGCCCAGGAGAGTCCTTTAACTTTCCCTCCCTGGATGTTCGAATCCGTGAAATGGGATAATAATAGCACCAAGGTCAGGGTGAGGCACTCTCTCAGTGCCAAATTTAAGAGGATGAGTGCAAAAACACTCAGCGATTACGATTAAATGTTTTAATGAAATACAAAATTCATGCTGGGTCAGGCGTGATGGTGCATGCCTGTAATCCCAGCACTCGGGAGGCTGAGGCAGGAGGATCGTTGCAAGTTCGAGGCCAGCCTGGGCTACAAAGTGAGCTCAAGGCCAGCTTGAACTGCATAGTGAGACCCTGTCTCAAAAAGAAAAAAAAAAAAAAAAAAAAAAAAAAAAATTCATGCTGTGCATGGTGGCTGATGCCTGTAATCCCAGGCACTCAGAGGGTGAGGCAGGAAGATAGAAAGGTCAAACCTAGCCTGGGCAACTTATTGAATTAGTAAGATCCTGTTGCAGAAAAAAGGGGGGTGTGTGGCTCAGTGTGAAGGCCCTGGGTTCTAGTACAAACAAAAACAAAGCTGGGCATAGTGGTACCAGCCTGTAATCCCAGCACTCAGGAGTTTAAAGCCAGCCTATGTTATATAGGATCGTTGCGAGTTTGAGACCAGCCTGAGCTAGAAAGTGAGCCCAAGGCCAGCCTGAACTCCATAGCTAGAGCCTGTCTCATGAACTTTGCCTAAAAAAAATTTTAAAATTCACATTGGGGGCCAGGGATATAGCTCAGTGGCACAGCGCCTGCCTGGCAAGTGCAAAGTTCTGAGTTTGATTTCCAGTTCAAAAAAAAAAAACTCATGGTGGGCTTGGTGGAGCATGCCTGTGATCCCAGCAAGTTCAAGGTCAGCCTAGGCACTTTAGAACCTATCTCCATTTTTTATTTTAATCTTTCTGAGACAGGGTCTCACTATGCGGTTCAGGCTGGCCTTGAGCTCACTTTGTAGCCCAGGCTGGTCTCGAACTCACAACGATCCTCCTGCCTCAGCCTCCCGAGTGCTGGGATTACAGGGGTGCGCCACCACGCCTGGCTGTTTCTGTTTATTTGAGACAAGGTATTGCTTTGTAGTTCAGGCTTTCCCTGAACTCTATATATAGTCCAGGATGGCCTTGAACTCACAGCAATCCTCCCACCTTAGCCTTCCAAGTGCTGAGATTACAGGTGTGCAACACTGCGCCTAGCTTCCTATCTCAAAGTTTAAAAAATGAAAAGGACTGGTGATATAGTTCAGTGCTCCTTGGGCTCAATCTCCATCATGGGGCAGGGGTTCGAAATTCATGCCAAACATTTACAATGTACAAAATATCAAACTTTTTGGGTTTTTTGGGTTTTTTTTTGGGGGGGGCAGGGTCTCATTATATAGTCCAGACTGGCCTTGAACTCAGCTAGCCTCCAATTTTGGTGATCCTCCTGTCTCAGCTTCCTGAGTGCTACGGTGACAGGCATGTGCTCCTATGGCTGGCTAAAATATCAGACATTTAAATAAAACTAAACCTGCCATGGTAGTACACACCTGTCATCCCAGCACTGTAGGGCTGAGGCAGGAGGATCTCTGTGAATTGGAGGTCAGCCTACACTACATAATGAAACCCTATCTCAAAAAAAAAAAAAAAAAAAAAACCCCCCCCAAAAAAAAAAAAAAAAAAACCCTGCCTCAAAAAAAAAAAAAAAAAAAAAAAAAAACCCACCCCAAAAAAACAAAATAAATGAGTTTGGGTTGTGGCTGGAGTAAAGTGTCTAGTATGTATGAAGCCCTGCAACATCACAAAAACTTTAAAAAAAAAACTTAAATGAACGCAGATTGAAACCTGACCTTGCACAACTCAGCCTTACTCTCCCTGGCCCTGTGGGGTAAATAATAACGCTACCTGCCTCTTAGTAAGGTGGAAAGAATGGCCCTTGACTCTTAGCAAGTGCCATAAAAATGGTACCTCTTTTTGAAAACCTGAGCCTCAGTTTCTTTATCTGAAAAATGGGCATGATATTTACATCACTCCTGTGTTCATGGCTGTAGGCCTGAGCAGACCCCTCTCCCTCTGTCCAAGGTCACCTGCGTCGTGCACAACTTCCAGAGCCGGCCCCCCTCTGGCCGAAGGCTCTCCCCCTGGGAGGACCTGGGCCCAGCGCCCACCATGGAGAGCCCCCTCGAAAAGTTAAGTGTGCCCCAGGTAAGGGGGCTGGAGAGGGTGGTGGGTGGAGGGGGCCCAAGAGGCAGGAAGTCAGGCAAGAGGAAGGGATATCAGGGCCCCTGGAGGTGAGGGGGTGCCTATCTGTGGACCAGGTGCTAGACAGGGAACACACTTCCTAGGACAGAAGAGTGTGTCTGTCCTTGCTCCTGTCCCTCCTGTCCCTCCTGTCCCACAGGGACAGCACTTAGCCTGGAAACTGCTCTGTCTTGTCCATGGGGCTCTCTGTCGCCCGGGCCTCCCTTACCTGGGAAGGCGGGGTCCGGGGGTCCTCTAGCCCCTTCCCTCTGCCTCTCTGTCTCAGGAACCCGAGGCCTGCAGGCCGCATTCGACACCGGCACGGCTCGCCCCATCCAGTGAGTGACGGGGAGGTGGGGGGATAAGTGGGGGGACTTCCCCGTGGGCAGCCGCAGGCACCAAAGGTCTGCCCGAAGCTTCCTTGGCCGCCTGCCGTGTTTCCTAATCTGCTCTCTGACTGCTGACCTCTAGAGCCGCAGAACTGCGCCCGCCGTGGCCACCTGATGCCCAGCTGCGTGTCCTCCAGGGCGCCGGCCATGTGTTCGTCGCCCCGTGTGCCCCGCCCTCGACTGAGGTCTGAGCCGACGCCCCTGCCCCTGCCCATGCCCCTGCCCGCCCCGACCCCCAGCCAGGGCCCCTCGCCCTCCTCCCCGGGAGCTGCGGCGCCGGGCGGCGGCGGCGGGCGTGGCCGGAAGCTGCTGCTGCCCACGCCCCTGCTGCGGGACCTGTACACCCTCAGTGGACTCTACCCCTCCCCCTTCCACCGGGACAACTTCAGCCCTTACCTGTTCGCCAGCCGCGACCACCTGCTGTGAGCCCCACCCCGGGAGTCCGCCCTCGCCCCTGTGTGTCCCCCGCCACGCGTGTGTGTGCGTGCCGAAGCCCGCTGCCCCCTGAACCAGCCAGGTCCGGGTGCCAGGAGGTGGCCGGGGCAGCCCCGCCGGTCGCCCTCTGGGACGCTCGGTGCATAGAGGGCCTTCGCCCGTGATTGCCCTTTTCAGGGCGAACACTTGGCCCTGTTGGCCACTGCCCAGCCAGTGAGGGTCTCCAGTTCTCAGAGTTCTCCCCCAAAAGGAGTTTATTGCAGCCAACCGGAGCCTCCCTCTCACTCCTTGGGACCCTCAGAGCCCCGGGCAAGTCCAGCCGGTGTTCAGTGTCTGAGCAGCGAGTGGGAGGCCTTGGCGCTCGGCGTGTCTAGAATGGGTGGGTATGATTCCAGTCAATGGGGGACCGCCCGAGTCTAGCGTGTGCACACAGGCGGAGCGGGCGGGGTCGTCCTTCCTCACCAGGTCCTCCCCGGACGCGCAGAGCGCGGTGGCGGCGGGGAGACAGGCTCCCCAGTGGCGAGGTCCCTTCCCGCGTGCGTACCCCCCACCCGGTCCCTCCAACTCCCTACTTACGCCCCAGTTGAGGTTTTGGGGCTCAGGGTGCTGTGTCTCCACTTGCCTGTACCCAGGGCACTCCCCCAAACCCTTCTCTTACTCCTTAGGGCTGCGGGGAAGGGCTTTCTTTTCTTCACCTTGCCCGCCCTGCCTGGGCCTACACAGATGTGCCATCTCGGGGGGCACGGGTAGAGCAGCGGGGGCTCCCCTCCCCTGAGCAGCGAAGGCAGTGGGCAGAGGAGACGCTGTCCCCCTTTCCTGCCCACTCCTCATCTTTAATAAAAACCTGTTTGTAGCAGAAGTCTGGCCGCTTGCCTGCCTCCCCCGGGGCGTGGGCGGCCGGCAGCCGCGGGTCTCCGTGGCTGTGAAGCGAGCGGGGCCTGAGCCGGCGCGTCTGCGAGAGGATCACTCTGCGAGGCACAGTGGGGCCCAGGCGGCCGGGCGCTGGGGTCGGAACCCTGGCCGAGCCTTTCCTGGCTGGGGGCCTCGGGAAAGTTCACCTCTCCGTGCTCCTGCCTCTTCTGGCATAAGAGGCCCCTAGGACCCCAGATCCGCAGGGAGGGAGCTCACATGCCTGCGTTTCCCAAGGAGCCGGTCGGTGGGTGACCACAGCGAGTGTTCAGAGGGCAGAGGGGACAGACGGAGGAGACCCAGGGGTCTCGACACGCAGGGTACCAGGAGGCGCTAGAGACACCACGCTGAATGCCTGGCTGCAGGGGTGACATCGGAAGAGCGGTTGTGAGCTGGGCCCAAGTCCTAGCTGCTGAGAACTCCGCAGAGAGTGGGGAGGGGGTAAGGGCCGGGGAACTACAGCCGCTAGGGCTCGGAGGGGCTTCAGACAGACCGTTTGGGACCCAGAGTCACCTAGGAACCAGAAAAGGGGAATCTGCTTCTTTTCCCCCCAAATTATCATTCTTTCATTCAACAAACACTAGATACCTACCATCTCTCAGGTTGTCTTAGTCTCTTTTCCTGCCGTTACAACAGAATTCCAAACACTTGGTGGTATACACACAACAGGAGTTTCTTGAAGTTCTGGAGGTCGGTAAGTCCAGGATCAAGGGATCAGCCGACTTGGTGTCTGGTGAGGACACGGTCCTCGTGGACAGCCATCTCACTTTTTTTTTTTTTTTTTT